ATATATTTATATCATTAGAATGTTTCATTTTAAATCATGTTTTTATAAAATTGTAAATGACATTTTTCTATCTATATATTTTCTATTTGACAGTTGAACATCCCCAGAAGATTATAGAAGCGGTCAGATACATTATTGCAAGGTTGGAGAGAAGCCATCGAAACCAAGTAGCAACAATACAAGAGGTATTATTTAATATTTGGGTAAGAACTTCATTTAGTTGTTATATTTGTGAGGAATAATGCACTAAAACAAAATATATTTGTTTTAGCTTGCTATGTATAGGGATGCTATAAGATCCTTCGGAACTAGACTTGCCAGGAATTCTCGAACTAAGATAGATCGAGGTTATCCCCTTGCTAATATTTTGTTCATTCATATATTTAATCTTATGAATTGTTCTTGTCCATACAATGCTGTTTGCATTTTAATCCAGCTCAATGGTGGGAGATATATGATACTGATGCACTTTACCTAAAGAGGATAGCAATCAAGGTGCTCTCTCAGACATGTTCTGCTACTAGCTGTGAGCGCAACTGGAGTACGTTCCAATGGTTGCACACTACTAAGAGGAATCGACTCGCTTCGAAGAAGCTTCATAAACTAGTCTACGTTTATTACAACTTAAACCTCTAAGAGCGGCAAATGAGAATGAAGCTTGAAGACTATGAGCCGATAGACTTAGACGTAATATTTATCACAGACACAGCAGATCAATGCGTAGTAGAAGAGGCGTAGTAGAAGAGGAGGAACCAGTGTTGCACAAGAGGCTATCGGTGATGAAGATCTTGAAAAAGGTGATGAGCAGCATAAAAGCAGAAGTAGCCAGCCAACGTATCCACAATTCGTGGGAGATGTCGATGATATTGCACCTAATGAGGGAGAGTGGGAAGGGGGTCTAAGGGAAAATGAGAGCGATGATGATTCTGAGGCTACCCTATCCCAACCATATTATTCACATATCGAGTCCCAACGGCAATAGGGTAGGGATGAGCAAGACAGTGTAGGTGAGCATGAAGGATGAACAAGCTTCGGGAATTTTGGATTGGGAACACAACAGGACACTAACACTCAGGGATTTGGGTATAGTCAGGCGCCTGCTAATATCGATGATTCGTTTTTATATCGAATCAATGAATTGTTAAACGAATTCAATCAATGGCACTAGCGTGACGAAGAAGAAGAACGACGTCGTCTGTCATTTTATTTTTAGATCGTATGTTACTAATTGTATGCTTTATTGTAGTCCATTTATGTTGATATACTTATTCCATGATAATTCTATGTTTATCCTTTTGTGTGATGTAAATTAAATGGTAAATAGTAGTTCATG